TGGGTCAGGGGCAGCTTTCACGCCTTCCCCCGCGGGCAGCCTCCGGGACTGTGCCCTTCCTCAGGGTGAATTAGGGCATTCTATTGCTTAAAGCCTTTGTGTTACCACCACCATAGCTACAACCGAAGCCCCCGTGAAGCAGGCAGTGTGCTTCAGGAGAGTCGTCAGCCCCCCCAGTTTACTGAGCCCTGGCAGTACAGAGGGATGCCAACCACAGTGCCTCACACACAACACAAGTAACCCACGCTGCAGGAAAGACAGCCACCCTTACCTTTTGCCCTGCATTTTCTCAGCTCTCTATCCTGGATGAAGCCAGCAAACATTTGGGATTCCATGAAAACTTCCAAGAAGCGGCGGATACTCTTGGAGGCCACAGATTTACGGAAAGCCTCCCTTTGGAAGGCACGCTCTCCTTTTTCATTCTGGGTTAGGAACAGGGAATAATGGCCAACTGTCTCCACAAAGAATCGGATAAAAACCTCAGACACTAATCCATTCAGGGTGTTACATTCTGCAAAATAAGGCGGCAATAAGACACCAAAATCAGCTGCTACCAGAGCTGTCACAGCGCTGTCACCCACACAGGGCCAAGTACTGTCACCTCACGGTTCACTGTTGCCATGCTCATAACTGGGCAGAGCTGTACTGGCTCCTTGCAGACCTGGATGTACCCTAGACAGGGTAACAGCTTTATAATCAAGAGTGCAGTCTATATAACTGGTGTTTCGTAACCAAGAGTCAATGAGAGCTACACAGAAACAGCCCAGAAAATTAGCAATTTTGTGGGTGCTTCATCAAAATTACACCTCGTATTTTAACTCTTGAGTATGTTTTCTTGAGAAGCTTCTGAATGACTCAGAATTAAAATGTTTACTCTGGGGATAATAAGCCTTTACCAAGAACTGATCAGAAAGGGTAATGTTGTAGAATTCGGGTTTTCATAATTTCTGAGATGTTAAAACAGTTTTACATGTGTAACACAGATGAGTAGAAATAAATTGCAAAACCTGAACAGGGGCCTGTTTCATACCTTTTAACCACAGGCACTGAAATTCAGCCAAGGCTGGTTTTATAATTGCTGGGGAGAAATACGAACGTTCACAGGCAGCTCAGCCCCTCTTGCACTGAAACTATGTTCTGGAGGTACCTGCTTCTCTCCCCTGAAAATACCAAGCGCCAAGAGCAGCACGTCCAAACTCAAGACACATCCCAAGCATGTACAGTTATCTGGATTGAGTTAGGGCCAAGTTAACTGCAAAGCTCTGTTTGAGTCAATGTTTAGAGGTATGTCATTTACAAAGAAATTAAAATAGATTGCTGACTGTATTACTGTAGGTTGATGCTATCAGTCCCATTGCCTGTGTGTTCAGAGACCGTCTTTGATGTTGCAAAAGGTATCTGAATACTACGGCCCCATCTTTCTCCTGGATAGAAAGTCTCAATACCATCTACACGCTTGTCTATACAAGTCCCTGTTTACAAATGAACTTACCATCATCTGAATCACTATCCGAATCCTGATTTATCAGCTCATTCTTTCTCTCTAGAGCCTGCTCCAGAGCAGCTTGCAATTTTCTAGGTAATAGCGTGTCCTCATCATCCATCTGACAGAGGAAAAAAAATACTCTTTAAATCGCATTAATCTTTGCACCAACTACAGAAAATACTTTAAGATTCAGAAGAAGAGCGTTTTGCACCTGCTACTGTCATGCTACACAAACAAAATAATGAAGATCTTTGTGCAACCATCGTATATTTCTAAACAAAATTTCTTGTCATTCTTAATGAGATTAAAGCCAGGAACAATAATCCAAAGAGCAAGGTAAAAATACAGAAATTTGGAATCAACTCTTCACACAACAGAGTCCAAATCAGTGTTTTTAACTAAATACACATCGTGCAGAACCTAGGTATGTGTACACACAGCTGCTCTAGTTGGGGTTTAGGCAGCTTCACTGGCTCTTGAGAGTTGTTTTTACTTATATTCTAGTATATCTTGTTTTCTGAGTTTCCCCTTGTTGTTCTCTTCATCCTTTTTAATGCTTGTTCAGCAGAAGTGAGCAGACACAGGAATCTTAGCTCTGCAACCACTATTCACCAGACATATATATCATCCTGGAACTTGTACAAGAAAGTTTAATCATCTAACCTGCATATTGTTATTTCTGAAATTATTTAGCACCACATTGCTATCAAAAGATGGTGATCTTTCATCTCCCTGCTTACAAGGCTCCTGCTTTTCCTACCACATTAATCTTTACCTTTTCTCACTCGGAAACTTTTCTTTGCAATTTTTGTCCTTTTCACCTCCAGCAGTGATTTTTCTTGAACTGTGAATACAGTTCCCGATTTCTTCTGGCAGTCATAGCCTCAATCCCTTTTGCATGCTTGAGGAGTACTTATTTACAGGTGAAACAGAAAGAGAGCACCTTTTTCTTTTTCCTCTAATCTCTTTCCCACTGCACAATCCCTGCCAAATATCTCCAATCAAAGAAACCTAGTCATACTGTAGGAGAAAACAGCTTGCTAGACTGCATGGCAACATTTTGAGCTGTACCTTACCTGTCTGATGAATCGATCAGATCCCAGGTTAACCATCAAAGCCTAAAGAAAAGAGAACACTGTAGTGAAATATACCTGAAGAGACAGAAAACATTCATATGTGTTTGCCTTTTAATAGAGAAAGATCACCCGAATGGTCCCAAGCCTCAACATGAATTGGAATTCCTACTGTGAAACAACAGGTTTTGTGCTTTACAAAACAAGAAGATGAAGTTTTTCTTTAGAGCTTAAAGTCTAATTTAACACAGTTAGATGCAAAAGATCTCACACCAGGTTAATATGTAAAAATCTAAATGGGTTGCGCAGTTCTTTTTCTTTAAACCTAAGCATGTTACTGCTAATTACTTTTAATGTGTAGGTGAAAAGTATTTCAAAGGGGTTTAAAGAAAACCGTGTAATTTGAGGCAGCAGGGCCTCCGAAGGGCAAGGGTGTGAAATATTAATGATCATGAAGCAGCAAAGCTGAGAGACAGAGCTCAGATCATGTGGGAGAGCAAGGTTAGGGAAGTGGGAGGAAAACAGAGAAGATATTTTCATGGGCCAGAGGCACAGAGAACCTTGAAAGCAAGCACAAGAAAAGAAAATTTCATTAAAAAAAGACAGAAACTAATAGGAGTTAGAGAGAAGAGTGTGCTCTTGAGTATTTCTGTGGTATTTTAATGGAAGAGGTGATGAACTGAAACTCTCATTTGACTTCCAATATAGTATTAACAAAGTTAAAAAAAAAGAGCCTTAAAGGTTTGATTTTCCGTGCTGGCTCTGGCTTCATGCACACGTTCCGTTAGCATTAATAGGTGTCATAGCAGGTGGCACTTCACATCTTCCTTTTCTTGTTCCAGGTTCAACAAAATCAGAACAAATCAGCATATTTATATTGAACTTACTTACTGACCAGGTTAACATTCACTTCCCTCTGTCAAGGTGCCAGGTATGCGAAGAAAGACAGAGTAAAGAGAAGACTAAAACTACCCCTGCAGCTTTACCAAGAGGCAGTTGCCCATAAAAATTAGGCAGATAAACAGGCAGATGAAAAATGAAACGTGAGAATTATGTGTGAATGGCAAGCCCTCTCCAGGGTGGGACAGCTTTACTCCAGGAACACAATTGTGGTGCCAACTCCTACCTCCTCTACAGGCAGCTCCTTCAGTTTGGGCAGAGAGCTGGAGAGCAGACCCACCAGGAAGGGGGTAGGGCAGCACACGATGTCAATCATGGATGAGGGCAGGACAGGAATGAAGGTGTGCTGCCAGGAGAAGGGGTACAGCAGGGCCACCACGGCGTGCGAGCAGCTCGAGAGGGTGCTGGAGAGACAGGAACAACCACGTTAGCAGATGTCCAGAACAGCTACCACGGTGTGTTAAAATGCAAGTGCCCAAGGGGCCACCCTTCTATCACTTCTGATGGCCTAGGTCCCCTTCCAGACCCTACCACTTCTGTACTGTGCAGCGTGGTAGTTCCTCCTGTGCTCGCCTCTAGGTGACTTGAAACTAAAGGTAATAACTAGACTCAGTTTGTTTCATTATAGCAATCAGGAGACACTTTGATCTAGAAGACAAAGTTTAATGTTCCCAAAAGCACTCAACAGCAGTCACTTTGAATGATGCTTAAAACCCAAAAGCAACTTCAGGTCATGGCTGTTATGACCATGTCAGTAATAAAAATGCACAATACTGAAGTTCTTATGCTGAGCACTAGTGCACGAACAAGGGAAAATGAAAATTAAAAATAGAATACATTTGGGAATGAAATACTAAAAAACCCCTCTACTAAATCAGATGTAAAAAAACCCCCCAACAATCAACACCAAGCAAAGGAAGTCTAGTAAAAGCAACACCTTTTTCAAAGTTGGTATGTTTTTGTGACAGCTGCATATTTTTGTTATAATACATTTTAATTGACTTATTGACCAACTGTAGTGATAAAGGTATTAACCCTGCTCAGTACTTTAAAATACTCGTTGGTATCCTCTAAACATTAGGACTTGATACCATTCGTGGAAAATGTCTTGCATGCATTGTCCTTCCGTCTACTGGATCTGATTCCCTTTTCCAGTCACGTTTTCCAAATGTTAAAAATAAAGGAACACCATTACCAAGCTAGTTTTAGTATCAGGGGAGTAAGACAGGCTCTCCATTTCAGAGCTTTGATTTTGGACCGAGTTCCAACATCTGCTTCTTGCAGCTGAGGATGACAGAAATTTGGATTTTTACCCAGCCTAGCATGACTGAGCTAATTTTCTCACAGAGCAAACTTCTGCTGCGCTTAGTGTAGCCACAAGTAATTATAAATAACTGATAACTTCAGAGCTGTTACTGCTCGAGAATGCTGGGGAGAAATGCCGATTTCTCCTGCTGCAAAACTTGTTGGAGACTTTAGGTGGCATCAGACCTCCACTGGAATAACCCTCAGGAGCATTTTTAGTTGAATATTCCAAGGGCAAGAGAAAGGTTTCATCTGTTTGGTCCAGTCAGTGATTCACCTTTGAAGTTTGCTGAATGAGAAAAGTGAGAATGAGACGACAAAGAAAGAAAAGGCTGGGGAAGAACATGCTCTTTTACTGCAAAAAATCTGTTGGGCTGGTTTTACTTGACTTTTCCTTTAGTATATATCAATCACAGCAGGTTTTTATAACATATGTTGCCTGACACAGGTTTCTTGTAAAATGATGTATTTCTCTAATTTATTTTTTTTTTCATAGCAGGCAATGGTGCTGCCCTTGCCTCATGTTCTGGTCTCAACTGTCTACCATAGGAAAGAGGGTTTCAGTTTTATGGTACAGACTCCCAGCACTTTCTCAAGCTCACTTTAATGACTCTGTGGCATTTTCAACTACTACAAATTCAGTCAGCTAGGCAACTAAAAAAAGAGCCACGTTAAGCTAAAAGCAGGAAATCTGATATTGTTAGTATGTTTTTCCTTACTATAGGATGCCCTTTTATAACTTCTTGTTTTACACGCAGTGCTGTGACGTAAATCAGCCCCTACATCCTCTCGTGCGTGCTATTCCCACGCTAGGGGAGGCTTCAGGCTCCCATCCAGGACACTGGCTTCTCTTCCAGAGCTTTCCCGAGAGCTGGCAGGGGCAAAGCAGCAGCTGAATGCAGCAAGTGGCCATCGGGGGGGTGTCCTGCAGCATCCCCCAGGTCACACTGTCGCCCTTGTCAGCACCTCAAACTCTGCATTACAAGGCTCTACACGCAGCTTTTCAAAGCTCTGCCTCAGAAAATCTTTCCCTGTAGGATGTCTCAGGCTGACCCCCATGAAATACACACTCCGAACTTTCCATCCCCAGGTTGCCAGCTGCCCTCCCTCCTGGACACTGCTGGAGCGGAGGGCAGCGGGACCCCCACACACAGTTACCAGACTCCTGCTGGTACAAAGTGCCTGCGTCTCTCCTGTAGCTGGGAAGATTCATTTTGTCACAAGCATAACTAAAAAGGAAAAATAAACAGGCCCTGGCAGTGTTCAAGGCCAGGTAGGATGGGGCTTTGAGCAACCTAGTCTAGCGGAAGGTGTCCATGGCAGGGGGTTGGAACTGGATGATCTTTAAGATCCTGTCCAACCCAAGCCATTCCGTGATTCCATGGCTCTATATTTAGAAAGAACACACATCTTTGACTTCAGTGTAAGGTTTTGCATTCATAAGGTAAAATTCAGAGATGATGGGTGTAAGGGAATCCCCAGTGTAAATCTCCAAAATATGGTTCAGATCCTTCTAGAAGTGTGTGATTCATGAGAAGCCTGTTTGGTAAATTAATAAAGAAAGCCCTGCCTTGGGAAACCAAGTCCACTCTGGTTTTTCCTTTCAAGACGTGCAACCCACACATTGTCCCACTGTTATTGTTTATGAGAAATAAGGTCGGATGGTTTGTTTTCTTTAAGGTGTGTGGAGCACGGAAAGTAAAGCAACAGGATAGTCAGAGAAATTAGATTTTCAAAGTATTTTTACTTTTAATACTCTAGGGCAGTTTTGGTAATCCATGGGGCTGGTTTGAGAGTGGGCTTTTTCATTTGGTCTGTGCAGCTTTACAGGAATGCTGCTTAATGTTCTAGCTGTCGTTCTACTGGAAAACACTTCTTATATCACCCATATGCAGGTAAGTTTATGCCTGGGCACGAGAAACCAAACCATTGCATGAGTCGCACACTAACAAGGAGCATAAACCACCACATCTTTCAGAGGGGAGGCTCTGCCACAGTCGTGCACAAATAGGAGACGCTATGATGATCCCAGGGCTGAAGTCCTCCAGAAACGTGGACTCCTCTGCTGATCTGTGTCTGCAGAGCTGCTGAAGAGAAGCAGCAGCTTCTGCTTAAACCCTGCACTTCCCCCTGCTCTGTCAGCTACAGGCTGTCCTGCACGCACATGTAACCATACACATGGAATAAGTCTGCTAACGGTAATTGACTGTGAAGAAGTGACTGTGCTTGCACATTTTGTGGGATAAGGGGATTTTCTTACATGCAGATATGTAAGGCTATTATCTAGCCCTATGACAGAGCCCACACCACTGAATTCATCCCATTAGTCTGTACTCGTCCCAATAATTTGCGCTCCACTCAAGGAACATTAGTGAACAACTTGTAGAAAACCACTCGGTTTCAATTCATTTCAAAGCACAGGCAACCCACCACTTCTCCTTCCACTTCTTTTTTTTCTTTTTTCCATGGTTATTATCTTGTTAAAAATATTTGGAATTCGCCCAGGTTTTGATTCTTCCTATGCCTTTTATTCACTAGATTTAAAAAAAAATCAGTGTTTGATCTTTTCCTCATGAAAGTATTTATATGAGGTTATAGAGTCTTATTGAGACATTCTTAATCACAGATTTCTCTTGCAGAAGAAATCCTTTATCATGTTACAGACGAAAGATGACAATGCTGCTTTCCCACTCAAAGTTGCTTTATCTTCCTCTGGGCTGTTTTGTTTCCCAAATCATTTTCTCGTGACAGCACACACAAACCTTTCCTTGTTGTGTACTTGGCTGTGGAGATGCAAGGCTTACAGTAAGAGCCGAGGCGCAGGAATTTCAGACATCACTGTGACTCAGCTGAATTGTGAAGACTGCTTGTGAACATGGTTTAGGCCCAGGACAAAAGCAAATTAATAACTTGAACTTTTACTGTCTTTTAGGTAGGAGGATGCTTGCTATCAATTTCTGGTTCAGCCAAACAACAAATAATCCCAAGTCCAGGCTGTATTAATATCGAATCACAGCACAGTTACCGTGTTCTGAGCAACACAGGTTCTCCTCTGTTGAACAGTGGATGGACACTGCCCTGGGTGAGGGGAGCACTGCTGATGCAGGTGCTACCACTGGAAGTGTCTGTGTCAGAGGACCACTGGATGGACACTGCCCTGGGTGAGGGGAGCACTGCTGATGCAGGTGCTACCACTGGAAGTGTCTGTGTCAGAGGACCACGGCTCACTGTGTACTGCTACTCTCCAACCCTCACGAAATGTTAAAGTCGTATTCAATTATTCGTACTACTCACATTGGAAATATTCCACAGATACAATTTGATAACTCTCTTTTCCCTGTAACAGTAGCCAAAAGTTATACTCCTTCTCACTTTCCCCCTCTACCACCTACAATTTCTCACAGACACAAGGAAGCGTCACACACTGAGCATCTCCTAAGTGCAGGAATAAGCCTCTAGCACAGACAGTCACTTGCTGTCAGGGCTCCCTGATCCTACCTTGCTACACTCATGCATCTTCACAGTCACTTTAAATTTGCATTGAAGGAGGGGAAGGTGAGAATATCCCTTCCCCTTCCTCCTCCTCTCCCAAGGGACAGACATGCTTACTCAGCCCAGAAAGAGGGTGGACCACCCCTTAGGTGCAGGGCCAAGCCACACAGCAGCTCCATCACCCCAGGGCTGGTGCCAGCTCTGTGCTGTGCCAATATTCTAGACCATGCACAGGACTGAGACCAATTGTCTGGTCCCTCTGCTTCCTCAAATGGAGAAACGCAGCCAAAAACGTAAATTCACAATGAAGTGTTTCCACTGCCCGTGTTTACTTTTCCACAAACTTTTCATGTTTCCCATTTCTCCCTGCTGATTTAATTACGTTGCTCTGTCCACATTTGCTGAACTCTTTCATCTGCTGTGTTAATGCATACATGCTTCAGCCCACAACTGCTCCGTGACCAAGTTTCCTCCCTGACCCGCATCCTCTCCTCTGCTCGGGAGAGCTTCCTTGCACCTGAGGTTGGAGCCTGGAGGCTCCATCCTTCCCAGGTGCACTACCTTGACTCAGGTGGGTATTACACACCTGTGTGCCTTGCCACAGGCC